ATATAATTCAGATTCGATACATTGATACATTTTGGATGTAAGACGCTAAAGCACTAGAAGTCTCAGATTATCCAATATGTTGCCCTTATCATGACTTGATTGGCTTGTTAATTGTCCGGATTATTTTTAAAGTTGCAAACAATTTTAATTTTTGCTAAATTTTTCAAGTCTATAAAAGGTCATTCTAGATCCAATTAGAAAATTTATTGTCTGGCGACCACACCAGAGGCCACAACATCTTGGCCTTTATATATTCAATTTATTGTCTTATTCTTATTTCAGACTATATGGCACATGTTGCTGCTGAATCTGATGGTCTTGCCGACAACATCGATGCTGGCACCGCACTGTCCATCGAACTCGCAAGTACGGCAACCTCTTCTGGAGCTTTGCTCGCCACGGCACGCAAGCGGCGCCACCAATCTGCTGCTGGCGCCTCAATTAGAAATGAATTGCTTTCATCTGCGAATCCGACTGGGTCCGGATTTTCTGCACAGCCCTCCGCAGTCGGTTTGCAGACGAACAGTCTGCTGGGTCATGCAGGTGCCGATCAAATGATGGCACCGGCAAAAAGGAAACCAGCATTAAATGCTTATGGCGATTCTGAATCGGATAGCGATGACGAAGATTTGGGCCACGAAGGTGGCCTTGGTCCAGATGATTACGATAATGATGACGATGAAGTCGATGATGATTGCTTGGATATTGACGATCGAGCTGGTGGAGTCGGTGGTGTAGGCATCACAAACTCTGGCGGCTCCTTAGATCTGTACAGACTTCGTCAAGTTAGCAAGGCCAAATGAGCCTGACTACCTGAACTTAATAAGCGAATTCAAAGATCCTAGAAGATCGTCCGTCAGAAGTTTACAAAAATATCAATTCATACAGCTTCTGGCATTTGCGTCGAAATTGAAGCTTATGACTCACATTTTTACCAGGGTCACCCGATGGTTTATTGTGACCACAAGCTAATGTAAAATGTACAATATCGTTGAATATCTAAAAGATTTTAATATCAGTTATCCCATATTTAAAGTGTCCGTTTCGGTGGATGGTATTCGCGACACAAGTCGGATAAAGTATTGTCAGATTTTTTCTATACGTGCGAATGATAGACATCCCTTTAGAAGCAAGTCTAAATGAGATTCAATTACATTCAATTTATTTCGTTTTGAAAAAACGAACTATCAATTCGTATATCATCTTAAACAATTCAAAGCTATAGGTTTAGTTATAGTTTAAAAACTTGTCATTAATACTGTGATTAAATTTTAATAACTCATTAGATGCAGTGTTAAAGTATGATAAAGTTTTAATTTAAAAATGTGTCCCCATCTGTTCAATATTAATAAAAATATCAAAGGCTGAAATGATAAAATATACGTGTAGGTATTTTCTGCGGATACATGATTGTGCTTCATAAAGTATATAAACAAAATTAAGCTAGTTGAGCCTGTCCCATGTTGCATCTCTAAACTATATGGTCAAAAATCTGATTTACTGCCTTTAAGAGTTCATAAGAATAAACTTATGTTTTGGGACCAGTGACAGCAATATAAAGCAGATGTAAAAGTTTTTCGTTAGTAGAGCCACTGATACATGCACATATTGTTCTAGTGGAATTTTTCAAGAGTAGCTAAGTCGAAATATCCTAATGTGTAAGCAAGTTTTATTTTCCCGATTTCATATCAGAATCGATAATAATAGGAAAAATAGCATAAGGCATCGATGCAGAGTAGCAGCTGGTGGTAGAACAGCCTATGGGGCCGGTTGAAATTTCATCGAAATTTTCGAAATCCCATTTGGTTCTCCATCCTTTGGCAGAAAGTGGGGCGAAAAATTGAACAAGCATGCATAGTCACGATGAAGAGCATTGCAGTCGTCGATG